GCGACGGAACGGAAGAAGGGAAGGAGAGAGAGAGAGAGAGAGAGAGAAAGTTTGGACGAAAAAGGTCTTCTCACGAGGTCGAATAGGCGAAATGAAAAGGAGGAGGAGGAGGAGGAGGGAGGGAGCTGTCGGTGGAGGCGCTCCGTTGTGCGCCGGAGGTTTTACATTCCGCGAGGATTTATCGTAGGAAAGAACGTGTTCGCCGGTGTAGAAGCAGCGTCATGAAGGGGACCGTGATCTGACTACATCTCTTATGCGCGCTATATATCAGCGTGCCGGCAGGCAAGAAGGAGAAGGCCAGGAAGAGAAGGTAACTACGCCGGTGAGTCGTAGCCACGTCTTGTGGCCACGAACGGACCAACGCGTAGAGCATATACGCGCTCGTATATATAAAACACGTACTTCGTGTGGTGGAGAGAGAGACCCCTTTCTCTCTCTCTCTCTCTTTCTCTCCCTCCACCCGAAAAGGGAGAGAACGCCGGAGGAAACAACGCCGCGGAGATTTTCGTATTATTTCTGGGAATCGTTGGGCCCGATCGTCCTAGCGATACCGCGGGACTCGGTGCCCTTTTTCCTTCCATCTTGGTCCGAGATGGACGAGAGGAGAAAAACGAGGAAGGAGGAATCGGGCAGAAGACGGGTTCGGTGTAATCGAGATGACTCGAACGAAGTTCGACGAGACGACGCCTCCTTTCTTTCCTCCTCGATTCGCGAAACGCTACTCGCCTCCTCGTTTTTTTTTTTTTTTCTTTTTTTCTTCTTTTCTTTTTTTTATCCGAACATCGATGCAGGGGGGGGAGGAGGGGATAACTTAATTTTCGTTCATCATCGAGGATCAGGCTGGGCGAATCGCGAGATACGTCGTTACACCTGTTTTTTGCTCGTTTTTCCGCCCGTTCTCTTCCTCGCTCTCCTTCCACGCCAGTTTTTCTCTACGTTCCTCGTCGTGTCCCCCTCTTCTCCCCCTCCCACACGGCTTTCGAGGCCCGTAAACCTAAGCTTAATTACCAATTAGACGTAGCGCGGAGGCACGCTTTCGCCCGGTAAAATCGATTAGTGGGCACGACGGGGACACGACGAGTATCGTCGTTGCACCTTCCACTCTCGCACCAATTTACCGATACAAAAGCGCATACTCTTGGCGGCGCATAAACTTACGTCACGTGCGACACGCGGTGCAACCCTATCCCCGTAACCGCGTTGTGGAAAACCACTCGTTCTCACTCTCACTCTCTCCGCTCCATCCAAGATTTTTCTCTTACTCGACCACTCGACGTATATCGTGTTGCATCGTTTCGTTTAATTCGAGACGATTCATTACGAAGCGAAAGGGGGGAGGGGAGGGAAACGCTCTATTTCCCGTTCGATAGAGGATTCCCCCGATGTCGATGCTCTGCGAATAACGCGGCAACTGGGTGGATGGACCCTGGGTATCAATTTATGCGGTGCAACATTGTTGGAACGCGCTTGGCCCTGGGCCTGCTGCTGGGGGGGCAATGGGATGGGCCACACGGAGAAACCCTGTATTCGAGGAGAGTGCCTTGTAAGACCGTGTTGGAGGTCAACGATAATTCAGGCAGGAGAATACCAGACCGGTTAACTTCGAGCTGAAAGAACTCCGCTTAAAATTATACTCGTTCGATTCGAGCACGGCTTCCTCCGTTCTTTTCTTCTTATTCTCTCTCTCTCTCTCTCTCTCTCTCTCTCGGTCTCTTTTTGCCCCTCTTTCTTCGCTACTTCTGTTTCTCTTTCCGCCTCCCTTCCTTTCGCCTTCCTCGCCTTCTCTCTTCTTCTTTTTTCTCTCTCGTTTTTTTCCACTCCCTCCCTCGAAAAGGTGTCGTCCGCCGTTGGATCAATGACTCGTATATACGCACCGACGGATTCCACGTTATCGTGGCGCGCATTTTGATTAATTTCCCCCGACTCTCGAGTGGGGATGAGCGGAGAAAGAGAAACGACTACGTGAGCGAACGAAAAAAAGATCGTCCTCTCTCTCTCTCTCTCTCTCGTACTTTATTTATTTTTCTTTTTCGAATCTATCGATCGACACTTGGACTATGCTCGAAACTCGATTCTCTCCTACCTCTCCGATCTGCGAGTTCCGTCCGTTCCGCCAACTCGGAACCGCGGCGATGCACGCGCGCGAAACTCGTACGTCGAAACTCAACAATTTGTCAACGAGGATGCGTGGTTTTGTTCCACGAACCGGATTCCGTCTCGATGTACATACGCGAGACGGGGGCAAGAAAACACGGGCACCCGCCTCGGCACGCTCGTCCGATTATCGAGCTTGCCTCTCCTCGCAACAACCACCGCCATCGCCTCTTTTCGTTTCCCCCTCTTTTTTTTTTTTTTCTCCCGCCCCCCTCCTCGTCCTTGTGCCAGACCCCCGCGCGGTAGTATCCCTTCGAATTAGTCGACACGACCGAGAGCCAAACCCAATGAATATTCGATCACGACTTTACCCGGTGTAGCCGGCCACCTGAACCCAACCAACCGAATACGAAAGCTTCGAAAGCGTGGAACGTAACGATTACTCGAGTCGATTACGATTCGTTCGTTCCGGCGAGGACGAGAAGAATCTAGTTGAAAGAACCTGTTCGAAGCGAAGGGCGGACAGGAGAAGAGGAAGGAGAGGAGGAGGAAGGAGGATCCTGTGGAAATTTGAAACAACGTCGACGACGACGATGATGATGATCGGGACAGGAGCGGCGGCGGCGACGACGACGACGAGTAAAGATTCGCGATGAAGGGAAGCGGTTGCGGATAGCCGAGGGAGAGGCGAGGCCCGGGGAGGAGAGAAACAGCCTCTTTGGGCGATTAAACAACTTAGGGACTGCGGCCGAGCAAAGGCGCCGCCTCGTGGACGACGCTGAAACGATTAAATAAATTAGTTGCTCGACAAAGAAGGGCAGCAGCGGGATGACTGGATGGGATCCGTACGAGGGTAATCCCCGTTGAATTCCTCCTAATTATGCACGCTTTACCACCATGGCTACCAAACAGGCCGAGGATCGAGTGTGGCGCGAAAGGAAGGAAGGAAAGGAGAGCGCGCGAGCGAACCGGATAGACGGAGAGAGAGAGAGAGAGAAGACGAAGAGGGCAGGATATTCCTTTCCCCTCTCCTCCCCCTCTTCTCGGTTCGCGCCAAGTGGCGCAGTTCTACCGTCGGCCGTTTTACTTACAAATTCAATAAGCATATATCATATTTAATGCACGCCCAAAGCCGGCAATGTTTCGACCGCCCTGAACCACCTTTCTCTTCCTTTCTCTCTCTCTCTCTCTCTCTCTCTCTCTCTC